TTGTTCCATTTGAAGGGCTGAAGGGCCACGAGTGGCTGGTGGCAGCCGCATTGGACAGTGCAGTCCTGGAGCTTCTGTTCTTAGTCATTATGCATTTTGATTATACCTCTGTGAAAAGTATTACTTTGACTTAAATTTTCTTAATGAAGATTTCTTAACAGGGACTGAATATATCAAATCATTCTGACCCATTGGGGGTTTTGTTTTGCATAGGTAGCCAGCCAGCCCAGAAAACCCTTCAGCGAAATAGATGTCGTCAGTCCTCCTTTATGGTTTCCTGATTCATTATTATCAAGTGATTTGCACTGGGAAATTTTTTCTTCCTCTCTGTCAGAAGTTTCCTGAAATTTTTCTAGAACACTGTAGTTTTCCTAAGCCCTAGTACTTAGATTCTAATGTACATAACTCTGTACTGCTTTGACTATTAAAGATCTTAAATAAGGTTAATTCACTGTAGCTGTTTCTCCAGGTTTATGGATATAGAATGTGTAGGGAACAGACCTGAAATTCGTGGTCGCCATGAGTCAGAATTGACTTGATGGCAACTAACAACGGGGAATTTTATGAGAAGCCTGTTTTTCATAAAAGCTCAGACTTGAGCTTAACTCCTTCTGATAAGATATTCCATTAATTACTGAGTTGAGCTGTTAACTCTAACAATGATAAGACAGTGCACATGGTGAATTAAAGGTAGAGTGTCGTGCTCTCAGTTTTCAGTGTTGTAAAGTAATGCTCATTTTGCTGCTGCTCCATTTGAATGTTTCTTCCTCAGTTCGAACACTCCCCTGGTAAGAGGCTTTTCAGGCAGTTTCTCTATCACTTTTTAAATTCATTTATTTCCAAGAAGATACTAATTATCCTGTTTTTTTCCATATCCTTCAAGACCTGAACTGCACTACCAGGAAAATTAGAAAAAATATTTTCAAGCAAAAGCACATTTGCTTTTGGTCCCAAAAAATTCTCATCTGCTGGGCCCATTAAATGTAATCTGCAATGAGAAACCATCAGTTTACATTTTCAGGGGCAGCCATATGGCCTTTAAATGAACGCATTTTCTGCATACTGGATTGCATTACTGGTCTGTCACATGCTTTTGATAGTCGAAAAGGACCTGAGCCCAATAAAATAGGTCTCATGTTCATTTCCAATAATGTTCTTGGAAACATTTTATATAAACAACTGGCAGACATTTAAATATGTTTC